TAATTGTGTTCATGTTAGACGGGCGGGGAATACCGTAGCTCATTTAGTTGCTAGAAGGGATTTGGGTACTAGTAATGAATGTATTTGTTCGGATCCTATCCCCCAAAGTATACAAACTTTGGCGGACCTTGATTTAATAAATTGATTCCCCGTGTTTGTCTTCAAAAAAAAAAAGTGATTTTGACAAAATTTTCTAATCTAATTCATCTCATTTGAGCTTAGAATGTGGAGAAGATATTACGAAATACGAGTAATATATAGTTTAGAAAATTCTAGCTAGCCCATGAGAGTTTTTACTAGTAGTTTGCTTCTGATATCACAATTTTCTAGTGAATCTATACTATATTAAAAGGCGTTCCTCTTTTAAAGGAACGGTGCCACGTGACACTCTTCAAAGTATGTGTGCTACGTCAGAATGTTACGTCATCATCCAAAGTATATGTACCACGTAAGCTAGCTACTTCATTTGACAAAATAAAATATTCTTTGAACAAGATTCGAACCCATAACCTCCAATACATATAAGTAATACATTCACCATCTCGACCAACTATTATTAATATTTCAAGCTGCACATAATATTATATATTCCTTTCATTTATAAAGTAAAATAAAGGTAATATAATTTATTTATTTTTAACAAGATTAGAATATAAAAACATATGATGTAAAAAAAAGTGACATCGATCCGAGGCAACGCCCAAACCTTTCACACACTTACTATACAAATAGTCGAACATAATTGCTAAATTAAAGCAAGAAGTACACAAACTAGCAACACGGGGCATCGCCCGGGGTACACACTAGTTAAATTATTATAATCGATTATTCTTTCAATAACAATCTTCTAAGTTTTCATCACCTCCGCAATTAAATTAAATGTCAATTTATGCTAAATTATATAAATAATTTAGGGTTTGTTTGGCATCACTGTGGTTTTCTGTTGAATCAAAAATTATTTAAACTTATTAAAATCATGATAATTTTGAAAACTGACAACAGAAAGTGGAAATATCTTTATCTTGTTTCCTGCTATTACTCCGTACTTTTTATGTTTTTTTTTTATAAAAAAAAATAGGATACCGTTATGCCAAACCCTTACCTTTACTTTTTTGTACCACTATAATTTAACCGAAAAACATTAGTAGCAATTATGTTTTTGAAGCCTACTTTCTCAATTTAGGGCTTGTTCTCTTCACCTATTTTTGTTGAACATAAATTTTTTTATTGCTGAATTGAAATTGTTTTTGCAGAATTAGATTTTATTTTTTGCAAAACTAAACTTATTTTTAACTGAACTAATTTTACTTACCTGAATTAAAATTAATTTTACTAATTAAAACTTATTTTCATTGATTATTGTATTTGTTCATTAAACTTACCGATTTTAACTGAATTGGAATTATTTTTACTAAATTGAAGTTATTTATTAAAATTAATTTATTTAAACTTGATCTGATTAAAATTAATTTTATTAAATTAAAATTATTTTTAGTGAAGAGAACGAGGCCATAATCTCTCTATTTTTTTAATAACAGCTAATTCTTATAAAAAAAAATAGAAAATGGGAAGGGCAAATTGAACAACGAAAGATTAAAACTAAAGTAGTTGATTAGGATTGAATCACAATATCACATGTAATGTTCGGTAAAACTATTGATACAAGTATTCAATTGCATAATATCGATTTTGCAATTTGTTTTTCTTTACTTATCCCATTTATAATGGAATATGGTAAGTACAAGTTCTTACATAAACTCAGAATGACGCATGTCTATATGCCCCCAACCTTATAGTAATCGAATTATACTCCTCCTTAGATCTCATTGTGGTGGTTTACTTAATTAAGTTGGTAACCTAATTATTGTTCTAACTTGTTCTCTTTGGGTCTGGAATGAACCTCATCACATATATATCATTATTTCACAATTTAATATTATGCTAATCAGATTATAATCTCAAAATCTTTAAATCAATTCCAATGACAAGCTAATTGTCAAATTAGTTTGTAATGTCACATAAGCTTTTAAGCTAGTTATCTTTCTAGCTAATTTGAGTCACAATAGCTTAGTGTTTAAATTATTAACTTATTGTTTTCTTTTAACATTTTTTTTGACAACTTTTTCAAGCGAATAAGCAAAGCTAATTTTCCTGGCTAGCTAATTGCACATTCTAGCTTTAATAATGGTCAAACTAGTAGCTATAAACTATTTAAAATTGCAAGCAAGTCCGCCTTAACTACAATCATTAGAGTTGCTCTTATTTGATTAATTATATTTGACAATACAAAGTTTTGAACCTTAATATAGTTAATTGTCAATTTATACATATAATAAAAGTTGATATTCCATATTTTGAACTCGAAACATATATAAGAAATTAAGAATATTCAACATGTGACTGTCACTATGTTTTATGTAGCTTAAAATTAATATAACTAACTAACGATGGTTAAATGTAAGCCAACAATTATATATGTAAATAATAATGTTGAAGCTTAAGAGTTTTGATGATGATGAACACAAAGAGCAAACTTTAACAAGTGAGATTTCGCTAAGTGTTGTTAGTAGAACAGGTGAAGTTGATTTTGGAAGTATAAGAGTAGCCTATCTGTGAAGATTCAAGGAGATTACAAGGAAAGTTAAAATAGAAAAAGAGTTCCTTAACAGGAACATGAAGACAACAAGTTCCACAGGAATTTGGCCTGCGAAGTTCCAGCAATTAAGGTGCTGGACTGCGTGAAGCCCAAGTACCCTAACCTACAAAAATTGACGAAACAATCTAAGTTATGTTAAGTTTATATTTTTAAGGATTGTTTTAAATATGTTATGTTATTTTATGCATGGAATTATTAGAAGCGTGGAAAAACTTGGCAAGCTTATAAAAGGAAAGTTTATAAAAGATAAGTTTTAATTAATGAAAATATTTTCTAAAAGATTTTATCTGATAAAATCCGGTACTAAGAAGATAATATTCTTTTTATAAATTTATCTTTGATAAGTTTACTAAAAGATTTTCCTTACAAAAGATTTACATAAAAACGTGTTTTGTGACAATCGGCAGTTTTGATAAATTCTATCTTTTGAAAACCCTACTTGTTATATGAGTTCATTTGTATATAAAGTAGTTTTCACATTCTACACAAATTGTGAGTTTATGCGTGAAAAATCTGAAGGGAGATCTATTGTATAAGTTTGCCGAGTCTAACTTTGTCATATTAGTTTTGGATTCCATGTGTAGCTTTCCTTTCATATATTAGAAGTCAATTGTTTAATTTGTATTGTTTTGGTTTTGGATGTGTGAATTTTTTATTGCATACAAATTTGTAGGCTTCTATAGTGAAGCTGAGTGAGTAAGTACTCTGGGAGTACAGAGTGAATCTAAGTCAGGGTTTTACTTTGCAGCAAGTTCAGTCTGGAACTTGTGAGTTTATGTCTGATTATAATAGGTTGTAACTGTTGTGTTTGCCCAGTTATAGTGAAGTGTTTTGGTGTTTGAAATCACTTAGGAGGGTCGAGGTTTTACTTCCAGTTGGGCCTGGAAGGTTTCCTCGTAAAATACTGTGTGCTATGCAAGTTCCTTTTACATTTATGTTTCATATTCTGCAAAAGTAGGCATAAGGAACTCACTACAATTCACCCGCCTCTTGTAGTGTTCATCTCAACTAACAAATAATATGTCAAAAGTTAACGGGGAACAGCTAAAAATTGACTTAAGTATATCTTATACTAGCGGGTGATTACAGAGTATGTATGTAAAATGTAATAATGCAATCCATCAAGGTGTAACATTCAAACATATAGGCAATGCGTTAGCATTTGTAAAACATGTAATGAAATATATGAATAAAATATAAATAATACGAGGAAAAAAAAAAGTAAGTGTGTTGGGCCCGTATGAATATATGACCCAGTACATTTTGGGCACCACTCCATGATCAAAAAGTATAACGAATTAGACAAAGCGGCTCGATTGAAACAAGTAAAGAAAGCGAGACCAAGAATATCAATCAAGAAGATACTTGCCAAAAATATACCTACAGAACAAGGAAGAGAATAAATTAAAGAGATCTCCTACACTTTGAATATATTTTCAATATCTATGTAACCCTAGGAGTTCCTAGGTATAAATAGGAAAATTCTGACATTATAAAACTTATGTATGCTCACTCACATTTAAATATAAGCTAGTTATTCTACTTTTGTCTATGGATCTGCATTCCTGTTGAACAAGGAAGCCTGTCCTTACTCAGTATTGTGTCTCTAAACTTGTCTCTTTGATCTTATTGAATAATTATTGCTTATTTATTGCTTATTTACTGCCTTGTTATCGTTCTAAATTGCTTTATATATTATTGGTGGAATGATTGTTATTACCCCTCAAACGCTAGAAAATTCTTAGATGTCCTAGATGAGATTTGCCTAAACAATTTGGCGCCCACCGTGGGCCTGATAATCAATTAACCTACCAATTCACCAAAAAGCGAGACAATCACCATGTCTGGACAGCCAGTACCCTTTACCATTGCCGAAATCAATGAAGGAATGAACGCATTCCGTCAAAACTTAGACCAGCAGAAAAGCCAAATCGAAACATTGTTGGCCCAAAAGGTTCAAACCGAAGCCAAACTCACTAGCTTAACTAAACAAAATGAAGCCCTCTGTAGCCAAATATAATCAGTTGCATCTAAAACCGTTAACAACAGAAAAAGTACCGAAAGTATAGCCATGCAGCTTGATATGTCTGGAACCTTCCACACCCCTAACGGGGAAAAAGGATCTAACAGTAGGGAAATTCCCCTAGAACTAGATTATCTGGATGCAGGAACTCTCAAGAAGGAAAGACATGAAGGAACTGAGCAGGGAAAAATAGAGAAGGTGGTTAAGGAGTACCTCAAGGCATTTGAGGCCTAGATCGCCAAAATCCCTAGAGTGTCAAAGCCCATGGAAGAAGAAGCAGCGGATGGCTATATATAGTCTCCTTTCTTAGAAGAGATCGCCATGGTAGAAGTGCCAAAAAGGTTCAGCACACCCAACATGGCCATGTACAATGGAACAACGGACCCTGATGAGCACGTGTCCCTTTACAAGCAAAAGATGATGACGAGCTCAATCCCTAGAGAGATTAGAGAAGCCATCATGTGCAAAGGCTTTGGATCCACGTTATCAGGTCCAACCCTAACTTGGTTCATTAATTTAGATAATGGGACAATTCGATCTTTTGCAAGAATGGTGAATCTATTCAAGATTCAATTTGCTAGTAGCAGAAAAATCGAGAAGCAATCCTCAGATCTGTACCGTGTTGTGCAAAGACACGGAGAATCCTTGAGGGACTATCTTAACAGGTTCAACAGGGAGAAGATTGGGATACAAAAATGCGATGCTCCTACAACAATCGAATCATTCAGAAGAGGTTTGCTAGACCATAGTAAGATCTACAAAGAGTTGACCAAATATCCCTGTACGACCTTCGAGGATGTGCAAGCCAAAGCTATGGCTCAAGTCAGATTTGAAGAAGATGTCTATGCAAGAAAGACCCCAGAGCCGGATCGCCAATCAAGAAGGAACAACAACTTTCCCAGGAGAGACCATCAATTCAAACTGTATCAGCGTTCCCGCTTTGATGAAGGATCAGTCAATACTGTCGAGGAGAAATTCTCAGATTGCAGGGAAGATCCTGAACTCCCACCTAAATTGCATGAATATTGTTTCAATGTTAACCTTGCAGGAGTAATTAGGAGCCTGAACAAGATGGGAGACACCGTGCAGTGGCCTAGAAAGAGTGACAGGCCTGGAGAGAAAAAAGATCCATCAAGATGGTGCGATTTCCATTCAGATATTGGCCATACAACCGATGAATGCGTTGCGCTAAGAAAGGAGGTTGCTTACTTGTTGAAGAAAGGATATCTCAAAGAACTCCTATCAGACAGATCCGAGGCCCCAGGAAGGGAAAAAGAGTCCATACAAGGTGGCCCCCCACCTCCTCCTCCCATTGTCAAAACCATCTGCTTCATATCAGGAGGTTTAGAAGTATGCGGCCTAACATACTCAGCAGCGAAGCAGCATGCGAAAGAAAGCAACAAGGATCAGTCTGACAGAAGGGAAAGGTCAAAAATGGAGATCCCTATCATGTTCGAAGAGAGCGATGCAGTGGAAGGCCATCATGACGGCCTGGTAATTTCGCTCCCAGTTGGAAACTATATGATCAAGAGAATCCTTGTTAACAATGGAAGCTCTGCAAACATCATCATGCTTGATACCTTGAAGCACATGAACATCGATGAAAAGAACATCATCAACAAGTAAACAATGCTGGTAGGATTCAGTGGGGAAACAAAGAAGACAAGTGGGGAGATCACATTAGCCACCTATGCAAAAGGTGTCAATTTACAAGTCAAGTTCCTAGTGATCGACACCTTATCATCGTACAACAAGATTCTAGGCAGACTATGGATACATGAGATGAGAGTTATTTCCTCCACATATCATCAAGTCATTAAATTCCCTACCAGGTGGGGCATTCAAGAAATCAAAGGAGACCCTAAGGAAGCTAAAGAATGTTACAAGATAACCCTGAAAGCAACCTCTGCAGAGAAAGGTTCGACATAGCAATCAGAGGGTCAGCTGGGCTAAGAAAAACTGAGTATAGCAGAAGAACAAGAAGCCGCAGAAGTCCAGCTGAACCCCAATCACCCAGACCAGAAAGTCAGAATATGGTCAGAATTGAATTCAGATCTTCGTCAGCAAATTTATGATTTCTTAGAGGAAGAAAAAGATGCATTCTCTTGGACTCATGAAGACATGAAGGGAATTCCCCCAGACGTGATCACCCACAAACTGAACGTAGACCCAATGCATACGCTAGTAAAGTAGAAAAGAAGAAAATTTGCGCCAAAAAGGAACAAGGTCATCAATGAGGAAATCCAAAACTTGCTGAAGACAAGAAAAATTAGAGAAGTAAAGTACCCAGAATGGCTTGCTAACGTAGTGGTCGTCAAAAAGAAGAACGGAAACTGGCGAATCTGTATCAACTTTACAGACATCAACAAGGCCTGCCCAAAGGATCCGTTCCCATTACCTCACATTGATGCCATGGTAGATGCAACAGCAGGGCACGAGCTGCTATCCTTCATGGACGCATACAGTGGGTACAATAAAATCCTAATGCATAAAGATGACCAGGAAAAAACCGCTTTCATCACTAGTCAGGGAGTCTACTGCTACAAGGTAATGCCTTTTGGATTGAAGAACGCAGGAGCGACATACCAGAGGTTGGTGAACAAGATGTTTGAGGAACAGATCGAAAATACAATGGAGGTCTACATAGACGACATGGTAGTAAAATCCAAGAAGGCAGCCAATCATGTCAAAGACCTTAGAGAAGCCTTCTCTATCTTGAAGCAATACGACATGAAGTTAAATCCTACAAAGTGCACATTCAGAGTTCAGTCAGGAAAGTTCTTAGGATACATGGTAACGCAAAGAGGAATTGAAGCCACCCCGGACCAAGTTAAAGCCATCCTGGATCTGGAGCGACCAAAGTCAAAGAAGGAGGTACAAAGCTTAACAGGGAAAATTGCAGCACTGAACAGGTTCATCTCAAAATCTTCAGACAAGAATAGAGCCTTTTACGAAGTCCTGAACAAGAATAAGGAATTCAAATGGGAACAAGAGCACGACGAAGCTTTTTAAAAGTTAAAAGAATACTTGGCCAACCCGTTGATACTCTCTAAATCTAAAGAAGGGGAGCCACTCCAATTGAACCTCGCAGTATCAGAAGGGACGATCAGCGGAGTCCTCACCAGAGAAGAAGACAAAGAGCAATTTCCGATCTATTACGTAAACAAAACCCTACTCAGTGCGGAAACGAGGTACGCATCCTTAGAAAAAATCATTTTAGCTTTAGTTACTGCTTCAACAAAGCTACGTCCGTACTTTGAAAGCCACTCTTTACGAGTACGGACCAACTACCCCATCAAGGCCATCATGAGAAAGCCAGAAATGTCGGGAAGGATGGAGAAATGGGCCCTACATCTGAGTAGGTACGATATACAACATGAGCCTAGAACCGCAATCAAGTCACAAGCTCTAGCAGACTTTGTAGTAGATTTCAGCCCAGCCCTTGAGGAAGAAGCACAGAAAGAAGTTTTGGCCTTACAAGAACCAAAGGCTACGCAGAAATGGACACTCCATACAGATGATGCAACAAACATACGCGGCGTAGGCCTAGGAGTGGTACTGACATCACCACAGAGAGACAAATTAGCACGAGCAATAAGATGTAACTTCAAAGCCACCAACAATGAGGCCGAGTATGAAGCACTAATCACAGGGTTAACTGTCGCAAGAGATATGAAAATACAACATCTAGAGGTAATCTCAGATTCCTTACTCATGGTAAATCAAATCAATGAGGAATACGCAGCAAAGGACGCCAGGATGATAGCCTACCTAGAAGTCACAAGAAGGCTTATTAAGGGGTTTAAGGAATTCAAGATAGACCAAGTACCCAGGAACTTAAACACTGAAGCAGACGCCCTGGCAAACTTGGGGTCAAATATTAACCCTGAAGAATTCAGAGCAATCCCCCTAGTACACGTACTTTCTCCAGCTATAGAAAAGGAAGCAACTATGAATGTCCACGAAATCCAAACAGACCCTGTAGGGGAGGAAGAGAGCAGTTGGACGAAACCTCTCAAAGATTATCTCCAGGACAAAATAGTACCAGCAGGGAAAGTAGCAGCCTCAGCACTTGCCCTAAGGGCATCAAAGTATTGCCTAATCAGCAACGTACTCTTCAAAATGTCTGTAGCAGGTCCCTTCTTACGATGCTTAGAAAATGAAGAAGCGCAGCAGGTCCTACAGTCCCTACACAGTGGGAAATGCGGAAACCATTCAGGAGGAAGAAATCTGGCCAACAGGGCACTCGGGATGGGATACTACTGGCCTAGCATGCGAAAGGAAGCCGCAGAATTTGCCAAGAAATGCCTAGCATGCCAGAAACACGCACCTTTAACACATAAACCATCTGAAGAGTTGCACCCCACATTGACACCTTGGCCATTCATGAAGTGGGGAATGGACATTGTAAAATTACCTCCATCGTAAAGATGTACTTCTTAGCAATGACAGATTACTTCTCAAAATGGATCGTAGCAGAAGCATACAAGGAAATCAAGGATAAACACGTCATCTCATTTATCAAAAGGAACATCCTAAGCAGATTTGGATTACCAGCAGAGATCATTACAGACAACGGGTCCCAGTTCATCAGCAACAAAACCGCAAAGTTCTGTAAAGAATGGAACATCTCCCTCATCACGTCTACACCAAGGTACTTGCAAGCAAATGGACAAGCAGAGTCAAGCAATAAGGTCCTAATAAGCAACATGAAGAAGAGGCTAGAAGGAGCAAAAGGGAAGTAGGCTGATGAACTACCCAACATATTGTGGGTAGACAGAACAACCCCAAAGGGCGCAACGGGTCACACCCCCATTTCATTAGTGTACGGATTTGAAGCAGTAATCCCAACAAAAGTGGAAGTCCCCACAGCAAGGTATGGGTTGATGACAGAAGAAAGAAGCCAAGCTGAACTAATGTATAACCTAGACACGATAGAGGAACTAAGGGAAGACGCAAGAATGAGGATGACAGCCTACCAGCAAGAAGTAGCAAGGTCCTTCAACAAGAATGTCAGAGTGAAAGTTTTCAAATTAGGAGATTGGGTCCTCAGAAAGGTGTACGAAAATACCAGAGAAGTAAACGCAGGAAAACTAGCGCCCAACTGGGAAGGACCATACAAAATCATCAAGGTAGTAGGCAATGGAGCCTAGAGACTCAAGAGCGCAGAAGGAAAAGAGGTACAAAGAAGTTGGAACGCAACACATCTAAAACTCTATCATTTCTGAAGAGAAAAGGTACATATTAATCATTTCAATTTCGTTTTCTTTTTACAAAAATACAAAATACAAAAAAAAAAAACAAGAAAGCAACAAAAACACAAAAAAAAAACAAAAAAAAAAACAAAAAAAAAAACAAAAATCTCTAACAGCCAAAGGTAGCACGACAGGTACTCTTCTTCACCAAAACTTTGTCAATTCAATTTATATTCATTACGAGTACTGACTTTGGCATCGGAGGGCCGTTGGGGAAACCACGGCCACCCCTCACCCAATTCTGTTTTGCAAGGACAAACAGCTACGCTGCCATACAAAGCACAAGAAGACGACAACTATCTATCCCTGCAAGGAGCAAAGCACTAGCAGCACACACACGTAAGCAATGTTACGTACATACTACAACTGTAATACAACTGTGATGCAATAAGAAATACAAGCACAACATAGCAAAAGAAGTAAGAATACTTAGTTGCGAAAAGCAACAAAATAAGCAAATCATCCAGCTGCAACAAGGCAGCACAAAAACAAAACAAATTATCCAACTGCACTAGGGCAATAAAAACAAACATTCTTCAAAGAAACTTAAATATTGTTCACAGGTGACACAGCCACATGGAAACTAATTTTCCCCAGTGTTATCAGTAGGGACATTCTCTTCAGCAGCAGACTTGGAATCTTCAGGACCATCCTTGGCATCCTCGTTCATGGGAGAATCAACCTCTTCATCAGCATAGGCTAGCAGCAAGGTACCAGGAGCAGCAGACCCTGTAGGGAAAGTTTAATCAAAGGCAGACTTCTCAGCATCATAGTCCCATGCCCCGTGCTTCCCTTGCTGATAATCCTCCATCATCTCCAAGCGCGCCTTTCCAAAATAATAACTAGCTGCATCAATAGAGTCGTTTGCAGCCTCCTTCGGAGTACCCTTCAGCGCATCTCGATCTGCAAGGCATTGCTTGTACTTGGTCCTTTCAGCCTTCAAAGCATCAGTGGCAACCTTATACTTATCAACAAGGGCATCACGCTCCTTCTTCATAACAACATAAGCCTGAGTGAACTCTGACACCTTGCTCAACACACCAAGGCACGACTGAAAACTCTACAGAATATCACAACAAGGTTAGGAGACACAAAGGGACACCCAAATTGATTTTCCGATTTTTTTTAAAGGAGTATACTATACCTGGAATGACTGCGCGACAGCCTCTTGAGAAAGGTCAGCGAAAGTCTACGAGGACTGGCGCTCCTTGAAGGCTGGGAAGAGCAAATTACCCACATGGGGAGCCAGAGAATCATAAGAGAAGTCAGCAGCATCAACGTCAGCAGGAATCTCAAGCTTCCTCTTAAGATTGGTACGAGGAGGGAGTGGAGGAGGAGCACTCCTTAGAGGCTTCACATTAGCTAGAGCAGGGACGTCCTCTGAACCCTTAGAAGAGGACCGTGATCTAATGCGACCCAAGATAGAAGAAGAACTAAGCAATTCATGAGACCTCAACGACCGAGAAGTATCTACAAGAAATAGGACAAATTCAAAAGGGAATACAGCAAAAAGTACAACAAGGTCTATAAGGAACAATAACGGATTTTATAAGAAGCGTAAGAAGCACAAATACAACAAACCTAACAGTGCATATAGATTAACCCTAAAAGGAAAAGCAAACAGGAGGACAATAATCACTTTCCAACAACAACATAAAAAAACGTAATCGACATACCACAAGCAGATTTGCAAACAAGAGCAGCACAACAACAAGGTGTAGGGACAACAAAAAGGAATACAAACCTTGAGACATAGCAGGAGCGACCTTCCGTTCAGAATCAGAATCATCCAGGGACTCTATCGGGATAACTGCCTCGGGCTGTGTCAATTTGATGAAAGATCTCTCGTCCACACTCAACTCGTACAGCTTATCAACCAAAGATGGAGATTGAGAGCGTTGCTTCAACTTACTCACTGCAACCATCAAGCAAATAAGCACAAATCAACAAAGAAGGAAAGCAAGACACAAAAAAACAAGAAAATAAAATACCTTCAGCCTCAACAGTGTCAATAAAAATATCACAATCATCACCCAACGTGTCAATCCTCACAAAGAAAAACTTGTGATACCACTTCTTGTCAAACGCCTTCTCCAAGTCAGTCACCAAAGGGCCAACACCATCCTTCAAACGGAGACCAACCCGACCCTTACCACCGGTCCTAATAGTATAAGGATAGCATAAATCCCTCACATCAAGTTCTATACCCAATTTCACACTTAGCAAATTGAGAATTCTCAAAACCCTCCAAGTTTGGGGCAACAACTGACAAGGCGAAACCCTAACCCTAGACAGAAATTGACGAACAAGGGGGGAGAAAGGGAAGGTATGCCCAATCACAAAGGGACACTCAAAAAAGCAGACCCAACCAGGGGCAGTCCAGTCAGCTCTTTCCCTAGACGATGGAATTTTCACCACCACTCCATCAGGAAATCGCGCAACTACAACAATCTTTTGAACCTCCTCCTTTGTCACTGTTGAAGGATAAACATCCTTAGCAGGGAAGACATTCTACGCAACCAAAGACGGCTTCTTCACACCCTTGTCAACCCCAGCAAACACTACTCTCATAGTATCGCCCATCACAACAACACAAGAGAAGCAAAGAAGTAAAGAAACAGGGAAGAACAGAGAGGAAAGAGAAAATACCTGAAGAAATTCGAAATCGGGGCAAAGAGTAAAGTGACTAGACAAGAGCCTGCACACTAAATAAATACTGGCAGAAGAAATAAACCGCACTTCACGATTACCGAGGAAATTGCCTTAAAACCGCCACCACGCTCTTTATTTTTGTTAACCGTTGAAATAACTTCCAAAAATTCGAAAATCCCTCAACGGCTTCTTTAGGTAATTTTCACCTTCAATACTTGAAAATAAAAATTAGGGGCAATGGTTGGGCTCGTATGAATATACGACCCAGTACATTTAGGACACCACTCCATGATCAAGAAGTACAACGAATTAGACAAAGCGACTCAATTGAAACAAGTAAAGAAAGTGAGATCAAGAATATCAATCAAGAAGATACTAGCCAAAAATATACCTACAGAACAAGGAAGAGAATAAATTAAAGAGATCTCCTACACTTTGAATATATTTTCAATATCTATTAACCCTAGGAGTTCCTAGGTATAAATAGGAAAAGTCTGACATTATAACACTTATGTACGCTCACTCACATTTAAATATAAGCTAGTTATTCTACTTTTGTCTACGGATCTGCATTCCTGTTGAACAAGGAAGCCTGTCCTTACTTAGTATTGTGTCTCCAAACTTGTCTCTTTGATCTTATTGAATACTTATTGCTTATTTATTGCTTATTTACTGCCTTGTTATCGTTCTAAATTGCTTTATATATTATTGGTGGAATGATTGTTATTACCCCTCAAACCCTAACAAATTCTTAGATGTCCTAGCTGAGATTTGCCTAAACAAAGTGTACCTTTCGAAAGGAACATTCGGGGTAAAAGGATCCTAGTTTATATGTTGCCAAATTAATCTAATGAGTTTACCTTCTATTTACAGCCTTTTAAATTTAGAAAACCCATTTTATAATCAATAACTGAAAGAACAAATATATTATCATTATGTCTTGTGCATAATAGATGTTTTGTATACAAATTAGTCATTTCAAATACATAAAATTTCACTTTTTAAAAGGTTGACTAAATTGAGGTTAAATTGTACAATATGTCTGTTTTGTACAAGTTATCTTTAAATAGTGTACATTACTTTTACTCTTATAATGCTACCTGTTAAAAGTTAACCTTTGTTTAATTTGGTCTACAACCCTCCCCCCCCCCCCCAAAAAAAATACCCAACTTCCCCTTGTTATTGCCATTGCCTCTCCATTATAAACTCCTACTATCATCTACTAACATTTTTTGTATCTCTACTAATGTTAGGGTTGTTTCGTGACAAAGCAATCTAAAAAACATGTATTTAAGGTTTCTTTTTCAATCTATAGGAATAAGTTTCTAAGCTACTTCACCTTTAAATGGTCCACAAACCCCATTGTCAATATATTGTCATTGTCCCTCCATTACAATCACCGCCATCACTCTCTCATCCAATTGCACCTTTATTACTATCTAGACTAGTTATTTTCGTGATAGTTAAAGCTTAAGAGTAGATTTTTTTTTTCTCTCTAGAGAAATACATTTTCGAGTTACT